CTTCAGTAGAACTTAAGCACAATCCTACATTCGATTCCTACCAATGAACTACCAAAAAAAAAAAAAAAACGAAGCACGTATTTTTTATGTTGGGCCCGCTCAATTATCCATAATGTGTGTCAAAATTTCCATTTAATTATGTAGATACAGATGGATGTGAAGAACATGACACTAAAAGTACAAAAATTTGAAATTTTTATTGTCGTTTTAATAGATAGTATATTTAAGGTCAACAATGGGTGAGATTTTGAAATAATCAAATAGATGGTGGAATTTCTTAAATTGGGGACGAGCTAAACTATTCAGCCGAAATCTTTTATGATTTGCTTTTATGCTTTTTATTTGAGCAGGTATTATGATATCCAAATGTTAAACATTGGTGGTCCTTCCTCCCTTAACTGCAAGGCTAGGAGGAGACCCTGCCCATACTGTTATTATCATTTATTATGAAAACAAAATAAAAATCCTCACCTCAAATCCACATTCAGAAAGTACGTTCGGCAACGGAAATCTCTATGCTGGCTTTAAAATCAATTTTCAATACCGACAACAAGATTTGAAACTAAAAAAATGATTTGCGGATTTGTAAACACTTATTTTTAAGGCAATTTTTTTCAACAACCATAATATTCAACTTGATATGATCAAGGTAAAGGTTTTCCAAATGCTTCACTCACAATTTTCAATGAGTAATAAAGTGAGGATTTACTTATTTTGATAGGGACGCAGCCCTATAAAACTATTGTCCTATTATTACATACTGGTATTATTGTTCTTGTGATTCTTTTCTACATATTCATTATCCATTGATGCTCCCTAAACAGAAAGAACGAGTGCCACCGACTCTCATGGCAAGCCAAGATGATAAAAAAGCCAAAGTCTTCCATAGAAAGTTTAAAACCAAAGGCGCGCAACTATATTATAATTTGTACTTTGGTCACATGCCTTGAATTTCTTTTCTTTTTTTCAAAGATTTCATACAGTGTACTCCAGTAGGAGCACATTATATGCTTGCTCCCTCAGGGCGAGCCATACTTCAGAAATTATTTTCGATGTAAAATGTCGTGATTCACTTTAGAAACATCAGCTTGAATTTGGAAGTTGTATTTAAAAAATTTTGGGTCCTAAAAATGCTCAGAGATAGCGAGAGAGAGAGTGCCGGATTTGCTCCATTGGGAGTATAAAATCTTTTTTTCTAAATGTTTATTGTACTGTACCCTCTAAAATAATATCTAAACTCCAAAATGGCCCACGGTTTTGATTGATAGTGAAAACTCATGAGAACTTTTCTCCCCAAAATATAAAAATAACTCCCCACGTTTTGCTTGTCGTTGATGAAGCTTTTCTTTTTTTGAGGTGGTGGTTGGGGGGATAGCGTGAGAGACGGTCTATAAAACACTATTTACTTACATGTGAGGTTTGTATAAGGTGCCCACCTAATACTCTACAAGTACGGCATACTTCCGAACTTTGTCGAAAGAAGTTCGTTATTGAAAACTTTGCGATGATTTGAAAATTCATGTTCAACTTTAATTATGAATTTAAAATTTCAAAAAGAATCAAATCTAATAAATTTCTAAATATTTGAAAATCTTGAAAGTAGATGGTTTAGTTAACTTGTTACAAGATATACTATTTTTAGGATGTAGAATTCTTTTTTCTCTTTAAATCTATACATCTTGAGGTTGATATGATTAATTGGAAGGTTTCTAACTTCGGAATTTACTTGATTTTGGAAGTGCACCTTACTTGCAACCTTATATAAGCTTTTCTCTTTACTTGGTGGGAAAAAGTTCATACAAGTTGTGAATCTGTTCATATAAGGTGGGAATCTTATACCCCTCAAAACATATTATTTGGATAATGCAAAACCCTAAAATTGGTCATCTCGATATTGAGATGTGTAGATATAGAAGAAAAAAAACAAAAAAATTGATTTCAAGTCTTGAAATAGTTCATCTTGTAGTGTATTATCATAAGCCTCAATTTTCAAGATTTTCAAATATTTTTAGAAATACTCAATCTACACCATGTTCAGAGGTTTGAATTTCACGATTAAAGATGGAAACAATACTTTTAAGCCATCACAAAGTTTTCCATCACCAAAACTATATATGTTAACATAATTTAGAGGTATGCCTTAATTGGGTTGGTTTAAGGTTGATACCTTGTGGTAAACTCACCCTTATTTAGAGTGAAAAGTCACAATCATCTTTGATTGTCAAGTTTGATATCTTACACCTTATAGTGTGTTAATTTGAAAGTTTTATTTAAGACTTGAGTCCATCACCTAATTTCACATTGTCAACAGTGATTATGACCGTTCATACAAAAAGTAAATGGTCCCCAACTCCAATAGAACAAAATATTAAAAGCTAAATTCTAGATTGAGACTGAATTGATGTCCAACCGACGGTGATAAATGGAATGAGGTGTCGAGACCATGACAAAGTCACATATTCTATCTACAATATAGGATAAGGCAACATGTTATCTATTCAATAGTTATCTCCATGCCAGTTTGGGAAGTCATGTCTTCCACTTAAAAGAAAGATACCTTGTTTCCTTTTTCCACTACATTATTGTTCTCAAATATTCAAACTACCCAAAATAATGTTCGGAGCGAGGGTATCCTTATTTATTAAATGGTGTGGTTTGCTTAAGGTTGCAATCTTAAACAATCAAATTAATGTGCACCTTCAAATTTTATCATATATGTAGTTTTGGTGTCGAAATTTTTTATGATGCTTTAGAATCTTTTTTCATCTCCAATAAAATTTAAAATTTCAAAAATAGTTGAAATCAAGTAAATCTATAAACACATCAAAATCTAGAAAATAGACAGTCTAGATAATGTTTTACGAGATACATTTTTTTTTTGAGACTAGAAATCTTTTTTTCTTTTCATATTCATACATCTTGATGTCAAAATGATTAATTGGTGAACTTTCCAACATCAAGACAACCTTTTATTATAGATTTTTGAGGTGCACCTTAGTTCTACATTAAAAACAGAAGTTACATCCTCATATAAACTTTTTCCTTTATTAAATAGCAGCGATTGAAATTCAGAGTGAGGCTCATTTATCAATAGTCATGTTCGGATTTACCATGTTCGCTTGGGTGAATTTTATATTGGACATAATAATAATAAGAATAAGAATAACAATAACAATAACAATAATAATAATAATACTAATAATACTAATAATAATAATACTAATAATAGTACTGGTGATTCCGAAATCGGCAATTTTTGAAATGTTGATGAACAAAATATAACGAAGGAAAAAAATCAACTAACATCCTACAGCTAGAAGTGATAATGATCTTTTGTTTTATTAAAGATGAAAAGTCTCACAGTATCCTGTCTAATTTATTATTTGGGATTGTATACAATGAGACCATTTATCTTTACTACAAGGAGGTCACAATTACTTCTGACCATCTGATATGAAATCTAAAAACTTACTTGTGTCACAAAGTTTGAGAAATTTTATTTTGAACTTTGAGCTGGGTCAATGAAATAAATGCAGTCAACCAATGTCACATCTAATGGTTAAGATTAATTGTGACCATCTTGTACCAAAGATAAACGGTCCTTGTATACTTTTCCTTATTATTTTGCTTTCATCAGTTTTCCTTATTATTTTGCTTTCATCAATTTTAAAGGAGCCTTCCTATTCTTTTGTTACATTAAAGATAAAATGTATTCTTATGTTATATTAAAGATAAAATAACTTAGAACATGCTCTCCACGAATTATTTTATTTTTATCATTTTACAAAGAGCCTTCCTATTTTTTCGAAGAACCTTTTGCAAACATCTTGTTTTCTATCATGTTTTGACTTTGTCTTGCAATTTAATACATAATATAACCTATAATTCATTATCATCAAAGCCGTATCCCAACTATTTGGAGTTGGCAAACATACAATGTGCCACTTATAAAGAATGCCCTATCTACCAACCTAACAAACCCTTCTCTTTTACAAGGCTTGGGACCGACATGACTGGCTTAGGGCTGCCCTACCTACCTAACAAACCATCTTCCTTTACCAGGGCTTTGGACCGGCATACCTAGCTTAGGACTGCCTTACCTACCTACCTAACAAACCCTCCTCCTTTACTAGGGCTTGGGACCGGCATAACTAGCTTAAGACTGCCCTACCTAACAAACCCTCCTCCTTTATCAGGGCTTAGGACCGGTATGACTGGCTTAGGATTGCCCACCTACCTAACAAACCCTCCCCCTTTACCAAGACTTGGGACCGGCATGACCGGCTTGGGACTAAATCTCATGTAATTCTTTCCTCCACAAAACATTATACCATATTCCCTTTAGGAAATAAACCACTTTCCTCCATAAAACATTATACCATATTCCCTTTAGGAAATAAACCACAGAAAAGCAACGTAGGGAAGGCACACAGCACGTGGCTCTTGTCAAGTAAAATCAAATGTTCAATTTTCCGCAGGGGCAAGCTTTATGTGTCTCCACAGACATGATTAACATGCGCCTACAAAACATCCTGCGCTAATAAGTTCATTCCCAACCCTCCCATCGAGATTGATTATTTGTCAGTTTCCAGATAAATATACATTTTATGTGTGTAGAGAAAATTGTTTCATGCAGGCTGGATCGCATTACTACATATGCGATCCAAAAAGTGTAAAGCATCCATCTTAAAAATGGATGCAAGTAAGCGTCCCATCTAAAAACAATAGAAACTAATGCTCCAAATGTTTTCTTACTTTGAATTATTGTTTGTACTTTTTAAAATTTACTTACTTTTCATATTCATGGTCTCCATGTTAGAGATTAAACGTCCTTAAAATTAAGTCCAATAAGCCATTTCAAAACTAGATCTATTAATTGGCCCCGCATTTCTACATATGCAGGCTGGGCCGCATAGAAACCGGGTCCTTGGCATGGTGCACGCTATCAAGAGTATCTTAGGGTTTCATAAAGACAGGATAGTGTCACATTCAACGATTGGTTCATTCAGAGACAAATATGCTCCATAGATAGATTGAAATAAACAAACCTCCAATAAAGAAATAAAGAAACCTCTAAAGAATGTCCGCTACATGCAGCACAAAAACATGCTCTATAGATGGTTTGAAATAAACAAACCTCCAATAAAGAAATAAAGAAACCTCTAAAGAATGCCAGTACATGCAGCACAAAAACCTCGTCTATCAAAACTTGTAAGAACATCCTCATCTGTCAAAGGAGGCACTGCCTCACGACAAATTCTGTTTTTTCAATTTGGCAAGTTCTTGCCTGATCAGGCCTCCCCTCTGCAAAACCATATAAAACAACTTAAAACCTTTTTCCCAATTTGTTTCCTTTTTCCTTTTTTGTGGAAAAAAATTCCTTTTCTTTTTTTGAGTTAAATTAAGTATAATAAGACATAAAAAGGAGAGAAACAGAAAAGACACACCTTAATTCTCGCCAACATGACCTTGAACCTGTCAAAGTCGGTGAGTGAAGCTCTCTGCTTCTGCACAATCAGTTTCCGTCCCCATGAACTCCTCTCCCACTTGTTCTTTACATCTACAGTTGACAATAAACAATCTTTTCTAAACACAAACAATATTTTCTAAATTATATAAGAAAGTACTTCTTGAGACCTTTTTGGTGAGTTAAGATAAATTAGAGTACAGTTGATGTGGGCAAAAGTGGTTACCAGCTCCATCCATTGCTGCGATGAGAGACTTCTTCTTGGGCACTCGAGGGATATCAATCTTGATATCGGTAAGCGAGAGCCGCTTGAAGTTCATTTGGCATCGAATCATATCAGGGGCATCAACTAAAGCCTGCATCACCAAAATGACTCTCCATAACACATAATGATAAATGTTATTTTTATTATTACTTTAACTAGTGGATTGAAAACAAATGTAGTAACAATGCCATAAGGCCAGATTCTGGCGGAGAAAATCCAATCCCACAAATCTTAAGTTAGGTGCATAATGAAGAATTTGTGAGATTGCGTTCATGATAAAGTGAATTGAGTTTTGGCCAAAAAACCAAGAATGAAATTATAAATTATCAAACCTAAGGCTCAAAAAAACGGATTTGGGCGCCTAGGCGGTCAGGCGCCCAAAGACGGGTAGCCCTGACCAAAATCAACCCCCCCCACCCCCTTGCCCACCCCAAACATAAAAAATAGGGGAGTTCTTACGGCTGGTTTATCGCCTTAGGGAGTTTTTAGGGCAATTTTAAAGTCCCAAACCCCTCGTGATCATGAAATAGACAAAAACATAATTGTAGAACAATACAATACTACAATGAGTTACTACTAACTTGTAAGTTGTAAGACATTAAAATGCTTGAAATCCCAAATGTCATTGTACGAACTAGGAAACTAGAAGTCCTTACTAGAAACGAATCAATGCTACAGTCATACATGAGTCAACAAGGCAAAATGCTGAAATCAAAAAACAAATACATCAAGTCAATGAAGTCACCATTCATCAACCAAACAACTCTATCGCATCAGCGGCGTTACCACTCAGGGTGTTCAATTGGATCATGAGGAGCATCTGATGATGATGTTGTTGACATGCCATCATCATCAGAGTCATCACCCTCAACATATTGAGTGTCATCTCTTGTCTCCTCTAAATCTACTTCTTCCTCTTCATCGTATGCCCTCTTCCTCTACTTCTTCACTGCCTTCTCCTTCCCCTTCCCCTTCCTTTGGCTCTAACTCTGAGTTAGAGCACGACTATGAGTGGTACGCGCAGGGGACATTGCTGTCCCAGCAGCCTCACGAACCTGGCCCCACGTCAAGCCCTCTCCAGGTAAAACCTCCACATCACTGGCATCGACCAACCACTCTGACCTGCTCCACCCTTTTATTGACATAGAAGGCCTGGCATGAATCTTCAGACCAAATGGTTCGTGAGCAGGTTTCTTAGGGTTTCTCGCTGTAAGTCCCTAGTGAATGGTGCAAGTTTCTTAGCAATCAAGAAGTCCTTAGAGCAGGTTTCTTAGGGTTTCTCGCTGAATGGTGCAGGTTCTTAGAAATCCATAAAAGGAGAAACCCTAAGAAAATTGCTCCAAGGACTAATACATTCATGTCATCATTTGGCTGTAAGTCCCTAGTGAGAGGGCGGTAGAGCAATGGTGCAGGTTTCTCATCAAATGGTTCATGGGGAATCTTCAGCCACTGCCTCAGAATCCTCAGCAGGTGCAAACCTCGTCTATTGAGTCACCAAAAGTTCTCAAAATAAACTATTAGAAGCTCCAAATCCACCCACGAACTATTATCTTCGTTTTGGGAAGAAATTGGAAAAATATAAAATTTATCGATCTTTCGATAAATCACAAAATAGTGGTTTTTGTGGGGTTTTTCCCACCCTAAATGCCACAGATTGTATATTAGGGGTTTAGAATACCCCCTAAGACCTTTGTCCCCCCTTTCTAAGGGGGGGGGAATTACGTAATTTATCCTCACCCGAGGTATTTTTCCGCTGCTCGAAAATTGTCATGCGGCAACAGCGCGCCCGAGAGAATAGTGCCTAGGCAGGCGCCCAGAAGCAAAACGCCTTATGCTACCGCCCAAACTGCACCTAGGAGTTTTGAAAAAATTTCCGCCTAGGTGATCGGGCAGCCAAATTTTCGAACATTTCAAACCTAAAAGACATTGAAGCTATTAATTTGATAGGCCACTTGCGACCAGTCAATTGATGATTGAATTACCCCAGAAAACAGTACATACTGCACAAGATATATCTCCATTTATGATCTAGTGTGAGTCCATCATTTCAACTTTCAAAGCCACAAGAGAGAACCTTTGTCATAAAACCATTGAAAAAACCACACCAACAATAGATACAGGTGGTAACTGCAACCACTGAAACTAGATTACCAATTTACCATATCACCCCACATGTTGCTGTGAAGGCCACACCATGTTAGAACACTACATTATGTTTATCAGACAAAGAAGTAATGAACATCTACAAGAGCCACTCAAAGAACATATAAAGAAGGGATCAAAGAACATATAAAGAAGGGATCAAAGAACATATAAAGAAGGAAAATTATCACAAATATATCTTAATTTTCGTCTATTTAGAAAAAAACCCTCAACTTTCATAAACCTCGCCCACACCCTTTTTCTTCTATTTTGGGTTTTTTTTTACCAAAATAACCTTCACGGTAGTCGTATTATCGTGAAGCACCATTACGGTACTTTAAGTACCGTAAAAACTAGCCCATGTCATACGGCATTTTCTATACCATAAGGAGTTGAAGTATTATTACGGCGCTAGAAATGCCATAATAGTATCTCACCCCATAAACCCTACCCAAAACATTTTTCTCCTTTAAGGTTCTGTTTGTATTTATTTCTTCTTTCTCTCTCTAATACTTTTTATATTTATCTTTTCCCTCTCTAATTCTTTTTAATATTTATCTCTTCTTTCTCTCTCTCCCTAGCGGTTTAGAGAAAGAAGAGATAAATATAAAGAGAATTAGAGAGAGAAAGAAAAGATAAATATAAACAGAACCGTAAAGGAGAAACATAACCGTAAAAGAGAAAAGGGTCATTTTCTCACGGTTTGTATTTATCTCTTCTTTCTCTCTCTAATTCTTTTTATATTTATCTCTTCTTTCTCTCTCTAATTCTTTTTAATATTTATCTCTTCTTTCTCTCTCTAATTCTTTTTATATTTATCTCTTCTTTCTCTCTCTAATTCTTTTTAATATTTATCTCTTCTTTCTCTCTCTAAATATTTTCTCTCTAAATCTTTCTCTCTCAAGCGGTTTAGAAGGAGAAAGAAGAGATAAATATAAAAAGAATTAGAGAGAGAAAAAAGAGATAAATATAAAAAGAATTAGAGAGAAAAAAAATAGATAAATACAACCAAAACCGTAAAGGAGAAAAGGGTTTCGGGTAGGTTTATAGGGTGCGATACTATTATGCCATTTCGAGTGCCGTAATAATACTTCAACTCCTTACAGTATATAAAATGGCGTATACCATGGGTTAGTTTTTACGATACTTAAAGTACTGTAATGGTGCTTCACGGTAATACGACTACCGTGAAAGTTATTTTGGTAAAAAATGCCCAAAATTGAAGAAAAAGGGTGTGGGCGAGGTTTATGAAAGTTGAAGTTTTTTTCTCAATAGACGAAAATTAAGGTATATTTGTGATGATTTCCCTATAAAAGACAAGAAAGAAGAAAAATTCTATAAAAAGTTAATATGTTTTAATTGTAACATACTTTGTCACATTACCAAATTTGGTGGGGCTCCACTAAGGAAGATAGAGAAAGGAGAATCCAATCACCCAAAGGATGTCGCATTCGTGGTAGAAGAGTTTCTAACAGCCATACCATCCGATGGTTGGTGGATTGATTCGGGTGCAAAAAGGCATGTTACTACAAGCAAGGAGCATGTGGTGGAGTCCAGAGAAGAAGATTGTTGATAGGAAGCTCTATATAGGAAACAACTCTTGGTCTACATACTTGGTGAGGTGACCGTGAAGCTTCCTCTTCCTAGAGGGGGCATTCTTACCCTCAATGATGTCCTCTACGCCCCCGACATGAGACGTAAGCTCAGTTATTTATCTAAGGTAGACAAGAATGGGGTTGAAGTAAATGTAAAAGGGGGAAGAATAGCTTTTGTAAGAATGGTGTAGTAGTGGCTAAGGCCTCTATTTGTAGAAGTTTGTACAAACTCGAAATTAGTGAAATGAAAGCATTATCTTCTTCTTATATAGCTTGTTCTTCTTTTCAAGAAAGCCATAATTGTTGGAGACATGAGTAGAATCGGGAGAGGGATCAATTCGAGAACCGCCGAACCGCCCTGTTGCAAAAGTTCCCTGGGTTTGGGATCGGCATCCAAACAATGAACAAGAGAGGGAACGAGATCCATAGGTTTATGGGAGAGGGATCCCATATCGAAGGGTTCGAGATTTTGACTAGCAAGAATCTAAGCTCCACTACACATTAAACGAGATTGTCAAGTAGAGCTAGAACAGCTCCCTTGGTTAAGGGATTAAGGTTTTTGTTTGTCATATAACGGGGTTCCTCTTGTTCTAATATCGAGATTCTTCAAGTATAGGAATCAAGGTCCTCAGTTGATTGACCCCAAGGTCCACAACAATACATGTTCTATTTAAATAAAATTCATAGTCCCATATTTTTATAAACCTCATGCTTATATCCTACTTGATAAATGCTAAATACTATTGGGCACTTTACTACATAGTCTGTAGTCCACACTCTAAAGTCCAATATGTATGATATCCTCAAGTTAAATAAATCCATAGTTCCCTATTTTTATACATCACATGCTTGTGTTATACTTGATGAATGCTAGTCCAAAGTCTGTACGTAGTGTAACATCTAATTAAATAGATCCATAGTAACATATTTTTATAAACCTCATGCTTATATGCGATTTGATAAATGCTAAATCCTATTGGGCACTTTTCTATATAGTCTGTAGTCCACACTCCAAAGTCCAATATGTATGACATCCTCTCATTAAATAAATCCATAGCGCCCTAATTTTATACATCACATGCTTGCGTGGTACTTGATAAATATTAAATACTTTTAGGAACTTTATTATATAGTCTGTGGTCCATAGGCAAAAATCTAGTGTGTATGACATCCTATGTTTAAATAAGTGCAAGAAATCATATTTTTATTATGTAGTATGTAATCCACTTTCCAAAGTCCAATATGTATGCTATCCTCTAGTTAAATAAATCTATAGTGCCCCATTTCTATACATCAAATGCTTACATTCTACTTGATAAATGCTAAATACTACTGAGCACTTTACTGTATATGT